GGTGTTCAGAATCAAGGGTGCTCAGACCTGGTGTCCTAACGGGCATCAGATGGCTTCCCTTGGAGGGAGGCAGTTGAATAGTGACCACAAGGGGTGGAGTTGGATATGGGAGTGGGGGACAGTAAGTAAACAGTTCTGAAGGCTGGCATGGGTCAGGCCCTGTGCTGGGCTCCTTACATGGATCTCAATGACCCACATAGGAAATGAGTGAGCAGTATCATCCCTCATCACCATGTAGGAACCTGAGTCTGGGAGGTCACTAGTTGGCCAAAGGCCCCATGGCGAATTTCCCCTTATCTGACTCTAGAATCTTAGCTCATTCTGCTACTTTGTGTTCCTATGGGCTGGATAGGAGCAGGTGGGGCTCACGCCTGGACGGGGAACAGGGAGCCGAGCGTCCCAATCACTCTACACCAGGAACAAGGCTGCCCCACCGGCATCCCAGCACTTTACTAACTTACATGCCTGAGTTTTCTCATCTGTCTGGTGAAGATATTAATCCTCTCATCACTAATTTATTATATGGATACATGAAATAAGGAATGGTGGTATTTGTCGAGTAGGGACTCAACTGGTTTTTGTTTGTTTGTTATTGTTGTTTATTACTTTCTAAAGAATTTTTATTGCATCTATTGGGGTGACACTGGTTAATAAAATCATACAGGTTTCAGGTGTACGAGTCTACAATACATCATCTGTATATTGTATTGTGTGTCCACCACCCCAAGTCAAGTCGCCTTCCATCACCATTTATCCCCCTGTGCTCCCTTCTACCTCCCCCCAATACTGCTACTGCACTTGCTTCCCATCTTTTGATTACTGCTTGTTTCAGCCTCCTGGTTCCTCTGGTCTCACCCTGTGATGACTGTGCTGAAGAAAGCTGCACACACTCCTTACCTCCACCTCCACCCCTGCCACCACATATGTAAGAAGGATCAGAGAAAACTCAGGGGGAGACGGATAAAGGACTATTCACTCTGAACTAGGACTAGTACCATTCTGAAAAATCAACATGCACTATAATTCCATAAAATTGATGGGTTGTTCTGAGGTCCCCAGGGTTCTGAGGCTCCTGATTTACTGACAAATTTGACTCACACGAAGTTTAGAAGGAAATACTGCCTTGAAATCACATGACACCTTTCTACACGGAGGCTCAAGAGTTTCAAAAGGTTTTACTTACATATATTCTTTTTACAGAACAGGAAGGGGTGCAGGGAGATCAACCACACTTTATATACACTAAGGAAAATGAACACAGCTAACACCCCAAATAAAACCCAGGAGTAAACATGTCTTTTCCTTGCCAAAATCTAATGAATTAGAACTATAGCAATCCATTGCAAAGTAAACGTATGTGACCAATTAGAATATGTAAATTGGACCAGTCATACTAGAAATATTCAAATATATTTTGGTTCCCTTTTCTCTGAACATGTCAGAATTCCCGGGTGGTACCTGAAGCTCGGGCCTGACAAAGCTGAAACCATCACATCACTCATGTGATGTGCGGGCAACCCCTCCACTGTGAACCTCGTGGGGTGCTAGCCCAATGCCAGGTCTTTTCTGACTTGCTTCACATGCTGAAGGATTCAACTAAAACACAAATCATAAGCACCTTCTCTCGATCTTTCTGCTCCAAGAATATGAAGATGCTCCCTTCTCTATGACGCCGTGAGAACAGAAATTTATTGAATGAAGGCATAAAGAGTGACACTATTTGTGTCCACGAAGGCCAGAACCCGGGCTTCACATGGTCAGAATTCCTCCTAGATGTGGAGCTTGCTATTGCTCACTGTGGTGAATTGTTGATGAGAACGGCCACACCAGTTGCCCCACCCTGTGTGACAGCCTCTTTGCAATGGGACTTGGCTGCTCCTGCCATCAGGGGTGGGATCTATTTTCCCACCTGGGCACCCAGGTTGGGCCACCTGACTGACTTTGACCAGTGGGACGTTAGCAAACGTGATGCAAGCAGAAGCCTGGTGAGTCTGCAGTCCTGAGCTTGACCTGTCTTGCTCCCAGGAACTCTTCCGTGTCATGTGGACAAGCCTGGACTGGCCTCGGGGAGGGTGAGAAAGTGCACAGGGGAAGCTGCAGTCCTCCCTGCCAGCCCAGGGGCAACCCTGGATGTGGGAGTGAGGTCATCCCAGACCATGTCAGGCCAAATCAGGAGAACTACCAGCTGACCCACATAATTTTGAATAAAATGGTGGTTGTTTTAAGTTTGGGGTTTTTTTGGGGGGGTAGGGGGGAGTTGGCATACAGCAAAAGTGAATCAATTCTGGCTTTACTCACACACTTGAAGGGCTTTGTAGGATTTAAAAAAATATATATTTTTACTGATTTCAGAGAGGAAGGGAGAGGGAGAGGGAGAGATAGAAACATCAATGATGAGAGAGAATCATTGATAGGCTACCTCCTGCACACCCCTTACCGGGGATCGAGGCTGCAACCCGGGCCTGTGCCCTTGACTGGAATCGAACCCAGGACCCTTCAGTATGCAAGCTGACGCTCTATCCACTGAGCCAAACCAGCTAGGGAAAGCTTTGTAGGATTGACCATAAGCAGATGACAAACAGAAGAAAAACTTTTAGGAGCTCCTTTAGGAGCTAACATAGTGCTTCTCAAATTTCTCAACACTTTCAGAATAACCTCGAGGAATCCAATCCAGAGAACACTCACAGAGGGGCCCAGGTTTACTTACATGGATGGTCCTGGGGCACCGCTGTAATAGTATAAAAGTGCAAAACACCTAAATACCAATCATTAGGGGAAAGGATAATAAATTATGGTTTAAAGTAAGACATAAGAAACAGCAAATGGTTAAACGTTTTTCAAAGAAACTATTCTACTATCTTGTAGCTTTCATTTGCCATAAAAGGTATCTCAGCAGACAGAAATCTGAGATTTAATCTGTAGTAACTGCTTAGTGCACTAGAAACTGCCACTCACACAGGAAAATTTCCCCAGGGTAACAAGGTATGCAGCCAGTGCTGGTTTTAGGAAGCCAGAGTCAAGGGTGGGATATCTCTAATCAATCCTTTATTTTTTTTTTTAAGTAAAAAGGTATAAAGAAAGGTATAAAAATTCATATAGGTATTAAAAAATTCAACCTATTTTCTGGGCATTATAGATCTTTAAAAATGTATTGCTCAAGTATTACTCATGATAATAAAAAAGTGAAAGCAACTCAAATGTCCATCAACTGGTATCTTTACACAATGGACTATTACTCGGCCATAAAAAGAAGTGAAGACTGATACATGCCACAGCCCGGATGAACGTGGAAAACATCTGCTATGTAAAAGAAACCAGATACGAAAGACCACGTATTCTATGATTCCAATTATAACAAATGTTCAGAATAGGCAAATCCAGAGACAAAAAGTAGATTAATGGTTGCCAGGAGCTAGAGCAACAGGGAATAGGAACTGACTGATAATGGGTACAGGATTTCTTTGTGGGGTGATGAAAATGCTCTGGAATTTACTGTGGTGGTGGTGGTTGCACAACTCTATGAACATATGAAAAACCACTGAATTATACACTGTAAATTAGTAAATTGTATAGTTATGTAAACTGTATGTCAACAAAGCTGTTTTTGGAGAGGGGACCTAGATAAATAAATTGATAGGTAGATTAAATAAATAAATAAACAAACAAATAGGTAGGTAGATAGATAAATAAATGTATTGCTCAATGTTCCATGATGTGGGATGCAGGTCAGTACTCATTATAATGTAACGTACACGTGTACTTGAATCCTGGTGAAAATCTTAACTTCATCAGTTTGCCACTCAAAGAATCGTTTTTACTTACTGAAGGCTCAGTCTCTGAAATCCATAAACGCCCAGTTTATTTGGAGCTTCCCTAGCATCTCATAGTAGATAATGAAAACAAACCAATAATAGTCCCAGGATGATACCCCGTGGTGTTCTGGCTCATGATAATGAGACTTGAAAATGGGGACTCTCTTGGACAGACATGCAGAAATTGAAGTAACTGCCTGGGTCCTCCCAAAGAGAGAGGGAGTGTGTGTGTGTGTGTGTGTGTGTGTGTGTGTGTGTGTGTGTTTGGAGAATTTGGAAAAATGTTCTGAGTTTGAGGTGTAATCTGCTGACCCATGGGGAGGCTCGCTGACGAGATATCCCAGGGGACCCCCTTCTCGTGTCCCTCCCCAGTCTTCACTGTTTTTTGTTGTTGTTTTAAAAATATTTTTTTTATTGATTTCAGAGAGGAAGGAAGAGGGAGAGAGAGATAGAAACATCAACGATGGGAGAGAATCATGGATTGGCTGCCTCCTGCACAACCTACACTGGAGATTGAGCCCGCAACCCGGGCACGTGCCCTGATCGGGAATCAAACAGTAACCCCCTGGTTCATAGGTCAATGCTCAACCACTGAGCCACGCCAGCCCGGCTCAGTCTTCACTGTTTTGTGTACGTGTCTTATCTCCCATGTGGACTACAGGCTGCTAGAGGGGGCCACTATGTCAGTTCCACTTTCTCAGAATTTAGCATAGTTCAATATAACTGGCAGGTGACTAAGACATAAAACAAATGCATAAAATAGGAATAATAATATGACATAGAAGAATTCCCCACTTTGCAAAAATGATTCACTGAACCGTTTCTTTAGGCAACTAACTCCCATAATAGACATAAAAGATGAATTTGATTTAGGAAAAGACCTGCTAACCCTTGGCACTTTCCCAGGAATCTATGTTAAGAGTGCGCCATGGAAAACTAGACTTGCCGTCAACAAGTTCCTGCCTTCCCTGAGAGCAGATGCTGTGAAGACTCCCTGTCCCCTCTGAACCCAGACAGACAAGATTCCAGTTAAGGACACTTTCTACACTCAAGCCAGAGACAGGACAGCTGAAGTGAAAGCCTCCTCACGCCCAGGCGTTCAGGAGTTGCCCAGATCCCACGAACAGAGATTCAGCATCTTATCAGAGGGTTAGCGCCCAAGCAGGCACAGACAGGGTGGTCCCTTACCTCGGGAATCAGCCGCCGCCTCTTCACGCTGGAGACAGAGTCTGGCTGGCCCTCGCTGCCAGGCTGCTTGCGCTTGCTGGAGTCCTGGAGGGTGGTGAAGACACTGTCTAGAGGGTGCTTCTCCGAAGACCTGGAATTCACTGAGCAGTCCAGGGCAGCTTCCTCAGCCTCCGTCTCCACTTTCACAGTGTTATTTTTTAGAACTGCGGCAGAGAAGAGAGAGGATTCGGCGGGAGAAGACTGTGGGTGGCTCAGAGATCAGCAGGGTCCCCCCAGTGACAGGCTGTTTGTGGGCCGCCCTTTGACACGACCACTCAGATGATAAAGTCTAGTCACAATAAAACTGCACCTTCCAACCAAGCAATGTTTATCTTACCAGACTAGTGCTACACAATAAAACCCCTTCCAAGAACATTCTGTTCAAAACTGGTTTTAAAGTCTTTTTGGAGGGTGGGGGAGAGAGAGGAGATGGAGGGAAAGAAATACTACCTTTTAAATGATGCTTTTAGAAAAAGTAACTCTGGAAAGACACACAGATAAGGTGCATGGGTACCAGGGCAGGGAGACTTTTCATTGATTTTTTATTTTGTATCATTTTATATTTTTGAACCCTGTGAATGTATGACCCAGTAATAGTATTAAGTTAAAAATAATTTTAATAAGTATTTTTTTTTACCTTCTTCTACATCTTCACTGAATTCAGTTGAGTTCATCTTCTATTCCACTACATGAAAAGACAAAGACAAAGTCTTGATTTATTGCTTGATTTATTTCTTAATTTTCCCTCCCCAAGGGGAATTCCCTTCCCCTCCCGACCCTGGCTCTGGATAGTAGAAGGTTAAGCCCACACAGCTCAGCAACGTCATGGAAAATCGCATCCTCTTATTCTTGTTTGCAGTTGCTCAAAGCATCCAGGCCTTCTGTGCACCTGCTGGGAGTGCTTCTCCAAGACTCTAGGTGGGCAGAACGGGTCTTCCAGCTCCGACTGAGAGCACTTACGGAGCTAGGGGAACGTCACTGAAGAAAGGCAGTCTTTTGTACAGACTCCAGTTTAAATCATCTGTGAGTCCCTGCTTTATAAATTCCAGCCACAAAAATGAAAAGGCTGGCCAAGGATGGAAGCTATGGGTCCTGCGGACCAAGCTGAGGTCTTAGGACTCCAGGTGGTCCCAGGAGACCTGTGCTGCCCATCAGCATAGCCACTGGCCATGTAGCTACTGAGGACTGGCCATGTGGCTGGTCCAAGGGGAGACGCACACTCTGAATTTCAAAGACTTAGTTCAGCTCAAAGAATGTAAAATAGCTCATTAATAATTTTGTATATTGATTACATGTTGAAATGGTAATATTTTTGATTTATTGGGCTAAATTAAATACTTTAAGGAAATTAATTCCATCTTTTTTAATGTGGCTACCAGAAAGTTTTAAATTACATATGTGGCTTGCATCACATTTTTATTGGATGGTGCTGGTCTAGCCTTCCCTTCAGAAACAACTTTCCCTTTCAGAGAAAGAGGTGCTGTGGGTTTTTATAGCTCTCGAGTTCCACACAATCTGTCCAAACCCTTCTTTTTATTGACGAGGGAATGGGGCGGGCGGGATGGAAGGTGCCCTGCATGGGTTTCAGGGCCTGGTGCAGAGCTGGCCTGACTCCCACCGCCCCAGCTGGAATGGAAGGGACACCATGACTAAAAGCACTAGTGCGTCTCTGAGATTCCCCAATTTCCATACCAGCATGCCCGTAACAACAACAGGAATAAAGGAGGTAGTGCGAAAGAACACACGTGACAGCCTTTACTATGACATCGGGGAGCTGTGGCTCCCACAACTGACGGACGGCAAATATCAGTCTCACTCTGGTGAAGGATCGGAGAGCAGGACTAAGGAGCATCGCTCAAGAAATTTCTATAAGGAAGAGGGATGCCATCTACTAAGTCCAGTAAACCATCCCGAGGAGCTGGGGAACGGGGTGTGGTCCCGGTTTACACCAGTGAGTGGAGCTGGGGGATGGGGCAAGACAGAAGGAGCATCTAGGTGACCTGGGCACAGCATAACTTCCAAATTCACTAGGAACAGCCACGCAGGCACAGTGCTTATGATGGGACGCCCTCCTCTCGGCGCGCCACAGCCTTATGACAGGCACAGTTCCTTCAATCCCTGCCCTGCTCATTTTCAGAGGAATGAATAAGAAAATGTAAGGTTTATTTGAAACTGAAATGAACACTACAATAATTCCTACTTACCAAAAACTATCTCCCATCGGGAAAACATAACACACAGGTGATACTGAGGGAAAATAAACGGTAAGTAAACTTCGACAGTCCAAGAATGATTTTGCCAGCGGTGATTTCTAGCAAGTACACCTCCTCCGTATACCAGGCCAATAAGCCCCGTGCTTGATGACATCACCTGCTCTGGGCGTCTCCGAGGGAGGCACCGGCAGGCAGAAATTTCCCATTTGCAGGTCCAGCCCATCACTGCATTTCGGGCAGGAGGGTGGCCAATGGTAGGCAGAAATGCAGCCTAGTCAGGGGCCCCTCAAGGGGACGCACTTCAGGCTTCACCCGAAGGCCCAAGTGTGGCAACTGCCCTTGGAAACCTGCCACAGGGTCATATAACCAGTTCCCTCAAGCCTAGGGCAGAGGTGAGAGCAGCAGAGCAAATGGGAAAATGAGAAAATGCTGGTGGAGGGGGTACACTATACAAAACAAGCACATTCTGGAGAGAAAAGGAGGGAGAGGGAGGATGGTTTATTTGGCGGGGGAGCGGGGGGAGAGGGGTCAAAGTGGAAGAAAACCACAAAGACTCTGGCTAAGTAGAAAGCTTTAAAAGGAGGAGTAAATCCTAGAAAAGAAACAGGAGCCAATGAAGAAAACACATCAACAGAACCACAAGTGCTGAGCAAGGACGGAATCACCGTCTAATATTATGTCCACCCACCTGTATTTCTCACAGGAGCTCAAGGAGAGCATGAGGCCTGGAGTCATGGGCTGGGTGTGGCCCCTGCCGGGTTGTGGCTCAGTGAGCAGGAAGGGTATTTTCTGAACCACCACCACGTGACACGACTGCAGGCAACTCAGCACCCGAATTCTGAGCTCCTAGGATTATCCTGTCAGAAAATCACAAAGGAGGAGCACACACCTGAGCCACCTGTGTCGTGAGGAAAAGCAGAGGGGGAGCTAGAAGGCTCACAGCGGGGAGGCGGATGGGAGAGGAAGGGGCGGCTGGCTTTATGCGCATTCAAGATGCCCAGATGCATCTGCTTTGGGAAACATGTCTGTGTTCATTTATAGACCAGTGACAGATGCTGCATTAGCCCAGAAGTAACCCGGAACACAGAGTGGCAGGCCCTTCCCTCCCGGCCAGCAAACAGTCGTGCTCTTCGGGAAGCTGGGGAATTCCCACAGCTACGTGGTGCTGTGTGGTAGGGAGCGAGCGAAGGTCCTCATTCACATCTGTAGCCCTGAACTGCGTCCAGACACCGCTGGCCACTGTGTCTCTCCATCTCACCCCGAGCTATTTGAATCCCAATTCTACCAATAAGGAAACTGAGGGCGTATACCTCAAATATACACAAGTTCTATTTGTCATTGAAGCTGGGAAAAAATGTTTTTAAAAATATATATATTTTTTAAGAGAAAGAAGGAGAGAAACATCGATGAGAAAGATCGATTGGCTGCCTCCTTCATGCCCACTACTGGGGATTGAGCTGGAAACTCGGGCATGTGCCCTGACCAGAATCAAACCAGTGACCTCACAGTGCACGGACCACAGTCAACCAACTAAGCCACACAGCCAGGGCTGGGAAAATATTTTTTAACATTGTGATTAAGGAAATAAAATACTTGAATACTGGAAAGGGGGGGAGGGGGAACGGAGGGCAGGTAACTTGCCAGTGTCACACAACTGTCAAGTAGCAGAACTAGCGCTGAAACCCAGTCTGTGTCTCTCTCCCATCAGCCGCCAGGAGAGGAACTGGGAAGAGAATCCTCAACCTTCTGTTGAGGTTCTTCTGCTGAACATGGGGCCAATTTTCAGCCTTAGATTTCTCAGTCCAACAGCAGCTGGAACATCCAAATCTTTCATCTCCAGGTAACCACCTGGAAAACCTGTGTGCCCTGTGCTTATGAATAGACTCCAGCCCAAGCACAGAAGTTTCTCCAAGCGGAGTGTGTGGGTCACTCCAGGCATCCTGGGCTGAGGCAGTGACAGCACATCAACGTCAGGGCCGGAGAGAGGGGACGGATATAGTGTTTGCTACCTCCACTTCCTGGTCATCTGCAACATGAAGGTCACACAGGGCTGCTCATCCTGGGTGGATACGGAGTATCCGGATGCCAAGCATGCCACAGACATTCCTTCCGTTACTTAACTACAGGTTATGGAGGAGCCACCAACCACCGCAGCTCCCGCCCACCCAGGCTGCTAAGATTGCAATCTCCTTCGCCTGCTGGACTTTTGTAGAATTTCTTATGCTAATAACATTCTCTCCTTTTCAAAATCTTATTTCTCTCACCACAATCTCAAATTGTGAGACAATCTATGCATCCACAGGTTCCTGAAAATCAGCTATCTTCCCAAGGGGTGGCTGTTCTACATCCCTCAAGAACCTCTGACCAAGCCCAAGGGAAGATGATTCAACTGAATGAAGGGAACATGTGTCAACAAGACCTGTGTAGCTAGCTGCTGCTTCTAGTTAAACCAGAACAGGTTCTAAGACATCAATGAGCTATCGAGGGTAACTCTCAAACAGAACTAAACTCCAGTGGTTAACCTAATAAGTGAAATGTTCTTTAACACTAACACTCACACACACACACACACACACACACACACCTTAGGAAACCTGAGGCAAAGTGACCGTCATTGTTACAGAAAGGTTTGCAATGTTGCAGAGCATGCAGGAGTATATATAATTTCATTAAAATGCTTCCTAGTCTCTATCCTTCTGCATAGAGTCAGATGGACAATATTCAATTTTCCACGCATGGGTATAATTCTGTTTGTGGCTGAGGGAAGATCAGAATGTTCTCAGAAAAGCCTTTAGTTTACAAAAAGCACAAAAGAGACAGTAAAAAGGTAATCCCAAATGTTCGAGAATAAGATGCTTTAGCCACTCAAATCTCAAATTACAAAGGATAAGTTGCTTAAAGTGGCTGCATAAATGCACCAACTGGTGGAGCTGCCCCTGTGCCTCATGCTGAATTGAGGCTGAATCTAAATTCCAAATATCAGCATGCACCTGGCTTGGGCTGGAAAGACGCTGAGGAGGGAAGGGAGTCTGTGAAGCAAGACAAGGAGGAGACAGATGTGAGAACCATCCCCTGGTGCTTAGAATCAATTCTAAGAGATGCCACAAAGTGATGGGAAAACTGTGAAGATTTACAATTATACAATTACTAGAGGTCCGGTGCACAAAATTCGTGCACGGAGGGGTCCCTCAGCCCGGCCTGCACCTTCTCCAATCCGGGACCCCTTGGGGGATGTCCAACTGCCAGTTTAGGTTCAATCCCACAACCGGCAGTCCTACATTCCTCTCGCAATCCAGGACCGCTGGCTCCTAACTGCTCACCTGCCTGCCTGCCTGATCACCTCTAACCCCTCTGCCTGCCTGATCACCCCTAACCACTCTCCTCTGCTGGTCTGATCGCCCCTAACCGCCTCTGTCTCGGCGCCTGCCACCGTGGCTTTATCCAGAAGGATGTCCGGTCTATCCGGTCTAATTAGCATAT